GTGATGAAGTGATTCAACACAATCTGCTGGTTTCTTCTTTACATTGTTCTTTTTATGTACAGTGCCCTGAGACAACGTATGTTGTGACTTGGTGCTATTTAAATAAACTTGAACTTGAACTACTCTATCACTCTAAAGACTAGAGCTGGGCAATAAATCAATGACTTGATATATTGCAATAGACACATAATCAATATCATACCTCTGATAGAATGTAGATATTTTCACTGAACTCTGATCCAGAATCACAGGGGATGTAGGCAGAGGAAAGGCTTTAGCTGCTCATTTGCTCACAGGTTGCTGACATCAACTCACTCAGTCTCTCTTTGGGAAGCTAGCAGCAACTGGTTAAATGGTATGCACAGTAGCAAAATGTCCTGATGCGTCTCAGTAATCCAGGTAGAAAAATATTTAAAAAAATAAAATAAAAATAAGTTGAGTAGATCATTTGGATGTGTTCTATGTTGAAAACATGTTTTGTTTCTCCTCTTCAGTCTGAGGAGTTTCAGTACTTCCACAGGGTGGACGAACAAGTTTTAATGATGACAATAAGAATGAAACTGTTCACATGCAGAAGAGGACCATCAGCCTAACAACTGATCGTTAGAGCTCTAATTATCACCTATTGTTTGCTTGGACTACTACCTTTGTACATGCTATCTAAGTGCTGTTCTTACTCTTTCCTTTCATATGACATTTTGTTGCTTCCAGAATTTGCCCATACAGAAATGGTTAAATGGTGTTTTCTTATTTTGCATCTTTAACATGGAGCATGTTACAGAATGATTTGAAATTAACAGACATAAAATCATTTTGAGTTTTTAAATTAATATTAGGGGTGTCCCGATCCAATATTGATATCGGATATCGGTCCGATATCAGCCAAAAAATGAGTATCGGATTTTATCGGCCTGCATAAAAAATGTCCAATATAAGTGCTCCGATATAAGCAGTTCAATCCAGCAGTTCACTGACTCCACTCCAGTGTTTCTATCCAGCAGTGCTTGGATCCGGCTTGCAGAGCTCACGTGATCACAACAACATGCTGCGCTAACAAGTTAGCAAGAATGTCGGCAGAACTTTCTATTTTCATCAGAAAACGAGTTGAAGCAAAGTGCAAAGTTGTCACGCACAAGTTTTCCGAGGGGGAACACAGAACCGTGAACGTTCTAAACCTGAGTGACAACTACTCTCCACCCTGGAAGCAGCTTTGCGGTTCGGCTCGGTTCGTTCAGCCTCGGTCCAGTGACCGCACACAGCCGCGCTGTTTCAGAACCTCCTCTCTGGTCCGGTCGGTGGTTCTAAGCTGGCAGAAGCGAGGACAGCACGCTTACAGTTTTGACATCCCGTGGATTAGCTCTGGGATCGATTGACAGAAGAAAGGAGAGCGCAGCTTTTGCTTTGGAATACGAGCGACATGATGAGAGCAGTGATAAAAAACTGCTCCCTGCAGGAGAGGCAGGCTGATCTCCACATGATGCTCAGAAAATGCAGCAGTAAGAAAGGT